TTTCAATTTCACATTCTAAGACTACACATTAATTGATAGTGGATATGCAACATGTGATATCACTTTTACAAAAAATAAACAAAATCCTATGGAATTGATAATCATGTACCTAAACTATATGGACTAATACGATACATTGTGGGGTAATTATTATGCAACTTTTTTTTTTACAAATCTGACTTTGACAAAGGATTCTAAAAATCAAAGTTCTCAAGTCTATATTTATGTCATAGAGCAAATAAACTTCATGCATTAGAAATTAAAGGTTTAAAATTTTGTTAGGTGGAGGAGGAGTGCGCAATACAACAACAATTTTTTTTTTGGTACAAAAAACTTTGATTTAGTTGATAACTGATGACCAGTTTGTAATACTTCATACAATCATTTTTTTATTTATTTTGAAAATTACAATAATCATATGCACATTGATGCTTTTGAATCGATCATTCTCATATCTTCACAAAATATTAACACACATAATATTCTTTACTAATATTATATTGACACATGATTACGGGACTATTATTAACCTCTATTATGATTATTATTATAATACAATTGAAGTGATACTACTGGACATAGGCGGAGTCAAAGCATTGGTTGGACTGAGCCGGTACAAACAATATTTTTGGAAAAAAAATTACTTGAATTTTTGAGCTAAAAAATCAAGCTATTTTTTAAATTTTGAGATTGGTAGGGGTCTAAATGGGTATTGCTAGGCGCACCCATAATTTTACTTAATGTAACTCTAAGAAGACTATTTTATCTTATTTAGTTTTGATGCAAGCTAAACCTCCGCCTCAAACTCAAAGGAGTTCACACTTCACACGCACACCCATAAATTTTAATCAATTGCAAATTGATTCAGTATCCAATAGTTTTTAGCCATGCGGTAAAGAAATACTTCGTACTATTTTTATGAAATCTTTTAACATTTTCATTCATACTCTCATTTTAAAAAATCTACATCAATTTAAACATTTTTGTAATTTTTCATATGATATTAATATTACATATGTATTTTTTTTTTCAAAAAAAAATCATGATCATGTTTTTCAATCTGGTCTGATGAATGACTAGTAAATGTGTTTTTCACTAAAGTACCTTCTCCATCGCTTAAAATTCTCTCATATTTATTTTTTTTCTTCCAAAATTGTCGCTTTTCCTTTTAATAAATTAATTTGTGATTTCAATTGTTTTTTCTCATTTAATTTGCACAAATCTCAACTACACAGTTTTCCTGTTATTCTTTGTGTGCATTGAAATTTGGAAAATGTTAAGGGACAGATGAAATATAAATTTAAGAGACATGAAATTATGAGAAGGCACAATTGAAAATTTGAAGTATACACATTAATTTGACATAAACTCATTTATTGGGAAGCATTAATTTATATTTATAATGTCAATAAGGATGCATGTTTTTAATTGGACCGAATTTTTCTACTCTGTCTAAGTCAATATGACGTGGTCTGGTAAACGTATGTTCTACATGCATAATATAACTATCAAAGTCTAGTCTCGTCTGATTTGGTCAGTTTTTAGTCCAAGATCGGTCTAAAACCAGATTATTATTTATCATTCTAAATAGTCGATCATAGTTACATGTAATGGAATAAAGACAATATTCAATAAAAATATACGAATAGCCGACGGTGCTATTACTTTTTTTTACCTACATAGTTAAACAACATTAAACAATGCCATTTTGTAAGGAATTTATTACTACGCAACTTTTGTTCACGCAAGAAGGATTTCTTTGTTCTCTCTAGGGTTAGCGGCTGCTAACCCTTAGCATCGGATCATCCGCCTTCATATTTACGAGGTGTGCGTCTATTGGTTAGAGGGGTGGTGGTTGCAGGAGTGACGAGGGGCGAGTTAGGAGTGGGTGTAAGGGCGGTGGACTTGGCTTTTTAAGCAGGGATTTTGGGCAGGCAGGGTTAAGGTCAAGAGGCGCCGACAAAGAGCAATTGGTGGTTGGTTTCGCTGGAAGAGCAATTTTCTGACGAAGAGTTCTTGTTAATGGAAAGTGTTGTGGACCGCTACAAGTAGATGGCAATCGGGGATGACGAGACAGAGATAAACCTCGATGACGGAGAGCTTGAAGACGTTCCGGCGGAGGAGGTGGCGGCGGGTTTCCCTGTGATCGGACAAGTGCTGACAGATCGCAAAGTCCGGTTCTCGGAGCTGAAAGAGCACATGCTTGCTCTATGGAGGCCAGGAAAAGGTATATTAGTTAAAGAAATCGGGGAAAAGAGGTATATTTTTTTCCTTTAACCATCGTTTTGACATGAAGCGTGTTCTGGAAGGAGGTCCTTGGCAGTATGAACGTAGCTTAGTTTTGCTTAAAGAAATAGAAAGTACGCGTAGTTACGAGAATGCCCCTGCGGTGAGCGGGAACTTCACTTAACTCGAGTAATTAGATATAGATTATCGAATATTGTATGCGACAAAAACAATGTAACAATTTTTTACATTACTAATAAATTTATTTTAAAAAACGCCCGAACAAGCTCGGGACTGACCTAGGGACCGGCCTGGTACACAAAACCAAACCTGGACCCGTAATTTTTGGGTTAGTTCTGGGGTCATCCAAGAATCGGGACCGGAACTACAACCAAACTGGATCGGATCCATATCAAATCAAACCAAACTTTGATAGTTGTATGATAAAATAGAACATAAATTTATCTGACCAAACCATTTGAAACTAGACTGTACTATACTAGATCAATACTGACAAAAATTTATGAAAAAAGCCTATAAACTAATGTCTTCTCGATCAATACTTTAGTAAAATACAAATTAGCAGCCATTCAACTAGAATAATCAAACATGATTTTTTTAAATTTCACACATGAAATATTGGCTTCATATTCAAAATCATTAAAAACAATTTAATTTAATATATTGTTTATGAAAATAGAAGTGCAAAAGTTGTACGAACTACAAAGTAGCATTTTATTAATATAAACATCGTATTATTAAAATTAACCTAGTAATTGTTTGCCCATGGAATCATGGATTGAGAATTCTTAGTGGCTGACGTCTAATAAGTGAATGTTGCCGTATGCAATTAAATCAAATACGGAGTTATCAATATGATTCATAAATCAAAGAGGACATTTTTGTCCGATCATGAAACAAATGAGGTGCGCCCATCCGGTGTGCGAAGGAGGGGCGTTTTAGAAAAAAGGTCTATTTTGCTCAAACCATTTTAGGACAATTTTGCTCCGATTTAGGGCTTAGTTATTTAGAAATGGGAATTTAGGGCTAATTTGCCATTAACCGCAGCTCGATTTCTCAACTCAAGAGTTTGTAACTCTGCATGCTTACAACTTTACAAGCTGTTTTCGATCTAATGGATAGTCATCCTTCTCTTCGGAGCAGAACTGCAATAGATCTAATAAGTGAACTGCCAGAAGATGTAAAGCACAAGATATTAGAGTGTCTAGATACTCGAGAAGCGGCCAAAACTGCTCTTCTCTCGACTCAATGGAATAACGTTTGGTTACGACATGGCCGACTTGTCTTTGATCATGATGTCTTATTAGGAGAAGGTGAAGGCGTTAGATGCTCGAAAATGATAACTAATGCTCTGTTACTCCGTCCTGGACCCGTTAAGAAATTCACTCTGGACACTGCCCAATGGGAACCTGCTCTGCAGGGGCGGACATACGTTTTGTTTAATGGGGGCACATGCCCCCAATAAAATCTTACTTTTCTTTGGATTTAGTGTAGTTGTTCTAATTTAAAAATATAAACAAAGCTATGTGCCCCCAATGAAAAATATAAAGGCCCCCATTAGCTTATATCTCTACAAGGAAAAGGCAATGAGTAATTTACTTTGTCTATACAAATAAATACCCAGTATATACTTTTACCAAGTTACAAGAGTTTTATACAGAAAATGACGAGTATGATAGGTTGTATATTTACTTACTTTTTAGGTAGTGGTTATTTAATTAATTTTAGAAATGTAAGCAGGAGAGTAGGCTCTTTATTCAAGGAAGAATTCCCATTTCATTGATGCTCTTTTCCAAATTTAATTTTGTTTCAAGTTGTAAATACTACTTTCATCCTCGTTATAGAAGCCCGTTTGATGACTCTAATTTTCGGCTTATTAAGCTTATCAGCCAACTTTTTAACTAAACATACAACTTTTGATTTTGCACGTTCAAATGAGTAGTAATAGGAGAAAAGTAAGGTTGAAGTTATTTTTGAAGTTACAGTAGATGATCATTTTAGCTATTTTTCATAATTTTTTTGTTTATTTTATTAATACAATTTTAAATACAATTTTTTCAAAAATCAGCAGAATCAATTAATACAACGACTTCAGTCAAAATTTTCATAAATTTCAGAAGAATCACCCTATTCAATCGATTTCAGTTTTACCAAACGGGCTCTAAGTTTGATTTATGTTTGATAATATGGTTATTAGGAAAAGTAAAATTATGTGAATAACTTTGAATTGATAATGTAAAAAATAAGTATGATTGATTTAAAATCATACAAATATTGTCATATTCGGTATGATGTAATTTAATGGAACATAACAAAAAAAGGGATAATGAGACAATTTTAGTATGAAGAAGGGAGTAGTGTGCTACGTAAAAGAAGTTATGTGCTTATCAAAATTCAATATAGTAACATTTGTCATTACTTAAGGCCTGTTTTAATCAAATACAATTAAAATGATAAAAGTGTCTCACACAACCATAAGGAGAAGTGCTCAATTTTAAACTAATCTATTTAATTTTAGTACATAATAATAAGCATTAGCATTTGTTACAGAGTGCTACAACAAGTTTTTGATGTACATTAGGTGATGCCCCCAATAACAAGTTTTCCTAGATCCGCCCCTGCTGCTCTGCAGCAGTCTGATTTAGATCTCTGGTGTCGTTCTCTATCAAAAAATGGTATAGAGCATCTTAACCTCACTATTGAAGCTCACAACGACATTGGAGATAAGTACACACTACCTGTTTGTATAATTTTCTGCCCGACAATCAAGCAACTGCAACTTGATTCAATTGATATTTGCTTGCCAGTCAATACTCGACCTGGTAGTATGTTTTCTGGTGTTACCTCTTTAGAGTTCACTTACGTTGATTTTCACCGTGACGATAGCCTCACAGTTATCCCTCGTATTCCTCATCTTGAGGTGCTAGTATTCTGGAATTGTGATGGGATAGATATGTTCGTGATCAATGCTCCAAGACTTAAATACCTCAGCTTCATCGATGCTCAGTTCGTGGCTGAATGGGAATGGTTTGAGCTTCATTTTCGTGTCATTAAGACTCTTTGCTTCGGTGCATATACGTTTTTGGTGAGAATCATGCCTTCGTAACATGTTGCACCATTCATAAAGAATAGGCCCCATGATACATATGTGTGTTCTCTAGTCTCATTTAAGGTTAACCAATTGCTTTGTTTTGTCTTTGACTTTATAAAGTATAAGACTGATGCTACGATAAATATCCAAGAGAGGCTTCCAACTGCTACAAATCTGCAAGTGATTGAGCTGCATGATTTTAGGTTTGCTGATGCGAATTGTGCTAATCTTGTTATTCAATTGCTTCGGAAATGCCCAAAGCTACGCGAACTGGAGATATTTATATTAAAGAATCAGGTTGTAATATCCAACAATTACCCGTCTTTTTTTGTGATTGAGATTCACGTATTTATGGTCTAATAATTTTAAAATTCTTGTCTTGTAGTCACGTTTGTGTGGTGAAGTCGATCCAACTATTTTGAGAGATCCAGACGGTTGGTTTAGTGATCAGGATCTCGGTGAGCTTAGAACACTCAAGATGAAATCGTTTAAAGGATCAAGAGAGGAAATGCTCTTTATCAGATTAATTCTATCAAAGTCTCCCTCCCTTGAGGAAGTTTTAATTACAAAATCAGGTCGCATTGATACCTCTGTGGCTTTAAAAGTACTAACGGAGATGATCTCCTACCCTCGTGCTTCGCCAAAAGCAAAAATTGTTTTCCTGTGACATAGCTAGGCGCTGCTCTATTTCCTGGATATTAGGCATTTGTAGCCCCTTATAAGGTGTGTCTCCATCAGTTCTGCTTGCATAGGTCCTACACAAAATTCTGAAGTCCTTTTGGTGTAATATATTTGGTGACATCCAATTTTCTTATAATTTATTTTGTGATATATGGTTTCTTCAATTTTCATAACCGCATTTAAGTCACAGGTTGTGTAGGTTATTTTATTACTCACGGGTTCTTCAATCTTCATTTGAGGTTCGAAACCGGTGAGCATGGGAAACTGGAGCGCTCTTGAAGTGATATTAGTTTATATAACCACATTTAATTCACAGGTTACAAGGTTTTACTTTTTACGAATTAAAGAGCATAGGTAATATATGCTACAGAGAAGTAGAACACTACTAGATTATCTGTCTTTTGTTGGTGATGTTGTAGCCTTGGCATCCCATCATCCTTGTGGGATTGTATTGTTTCTAGACCGTGTTTAGAAAATAGGTTTTGTTAACTGAATCATGGGACCTTGATAAAAGTTTGACTGTATCAATGCTGATATGATCATACTCAATAAGTTAGTTACAAAATAAGATAAGTATTCTTTGATGTCTCGTAAACCAATGAGCATAAAAACATATATACAGGTACATTGGAATTCCACACAACAAAATCATTAGAGTTACAGAACGATATGTAGATACCTCCTTAGCAGGAGAGGGATGCATAGTTCCACACTGTTCAAGTCTTTCATTCCTCATTCTATGCCAATACTCCAATTTATCTACAAGCCACTCAAGATTCGGTCTTAGGTTTTAGGGCATCTTTCAACACTTGTTTCCATGTAAATGATCCCGTATCTACCCTGAAGTATCAAGCACAATGTCTTCAAAACCGATGTCGGTTCCATTTTCTGAAATAAAAATAAAAAATGCCTAATTCGCCAAGAAACCCGATAAACCGTTGTGAACTAAATAGCATTGCATTGACACAAATTAGCTAAAAAAAAGTAACACAACCAATTCAAACACGCATAAAATATTTATTGAATTATGAAAATTATGGGGACAACCGAAATAGGAACTTTTGTGTAGTAACTTGTTGAGTTTTTGTGAGGCAAATATGAGTGCTAAAGTGATTTTGGGAAAATGATAGGAACTTGTTGAGTTATTAAAATATTCTCTCCTAACCAAAAAATCCTAACACTTTCCTTTTTTGTCCGTATAAAAAAAATCCATTTCTAAATCTTTTCATCATGCCCTTGATAATTTTGAAAATAATACATTATTATAACTACTTTTTTTGGATTTATCCTTCATCCCATCACATTATTCCACTATATTCGCATCATACCCTCAATAATTTTTATCTTCTTTCACTATTCTTAATCTACCTACTTTTGAAATGGAAAGATTTTTAAGTTACGTAGGGAGTACTACTTAAGCAGTATTCCAGAGATTATCTTGATACTTGGGTTAAATACCTTATATGGTGTGTATTGTTTAATAGAAACGTCAAAGCCGATTGTGAAGCTAGTTAGACCATTTGGAGTGATGAGATATTAGGAGTCCAAAATGTTAAAAATGACATTTTTGAACTTCTAATTTCATGCATTGGTTGATTGAAAATGGTATTAAAATTGGATTTGGGAAGGAATGAGGTTAAATTTGGAGGAATTTGGACAGTCAAAAAATAAATGTAAAAGAAATTAAAGTGGGAGTGGGGCGGCCACCCTCATGTCGTGCACAGAGGGAAAGAGGCCAGGTGGCATTTGGGGGGCGTAAAAATTATTTCCCCAATCTGATGTCATGTTGATGTCGTGGTGGTGTCACACAACACCCAAGCTTGTTTATTGTTTTAAAAAAATTGGTAGATCCAACAGTTGTGATGATTTGGACACTGTTTGAATTGAAAAAAATGATATATTGACTGAAATTGAAATCAATTTATTTTATTTTTCTATTGTTTTTAATTAATATTTTGTCCGAAAATCCTATATAAATTCTCCGATATGTTTGAACTCACTTCATTGAAAAACGTAAAAAAAATAATTAATGAAATTTATTTATTTTACATCAAAATGTGTCTTTTTTATTTTATAATTAATAAGAGAAAAAATTAAAAGGAAAACATTAGTTATAATAATTTAATTAATATTTTACTAAATTGATGTGTAAATAAATGTGCAGAGTGTATTTTATTGACAGTTTTGGAATGAAGAAAAATAGGAATCAAAACGCTGTTTTCATATGGAAGGTGTCCATTTTTTACATTTAGACCCTCACACCACTCCAAATGGTCTTAGCCTAGGCAAATCCTTGGACCTCTCATTTTGGAGGGGCCTCTCATTTTTGAAGTACCATCAGTATTCAGAGTTTTTTTCAAAAATAATGTCAAATAAAAAATTATTTACGAAATTAAGATCCAGTTAAAACTATTTACCAAAATACTGCTGGATTTAACTCTGGTTAACCAAAGTCGCCAAACGAAGTGGCGACTTACAAACCGCCAACCCATTTGGCGACTCTTGCATGCGAGGGAAGTAGCAAGGTACGGTAAGGTAGAGTAATAAGTTGGTGGAGCCCATGTTATAAAAATCGCAATTTTTCTTTAAAAGGCTATAACTTTTTCGTTTTCACTCCAATATTTTAAAAATATATCAAAATTCACAATTTTTTATTATCTTTCATATGACACCAATATAGAATATATAAATTTTAATTTTTTCAAAGGCTTATTAACTCTTAATTTTCAATCTCAATACGAAATATTTCATACAGAGTACTCCCTCCGTTCTCCATTAGTTGTCCTTACAGGGTTTGACACATGTTTTAAGAAGAAAATAGTAGGGGTAGAGTGAATGGTGCAGTAGGTTATGTTTAAATGAAAAAGTATGAAAGAGAATGTAAAAGTAGGAAAGATAATGAGGGTAAACGAGTATATTTATTGAAAAACTTTCCAAAAATGGAAAGTGAGACAAATATTAGAAAACAACCCCAAACAAAAAGAGGGACAAGTATTAGAGAACGGATGTTGTATTATATAAAGAAACAATTTGTATTATATGGCGAAATTAAAGATAGAGGATGAGGATGTGAATTGGTAATTTTTAGAGACGATAATTATGTTTAAATTTTATATTGTTGTGGCTATAAATGTGTACTCATAAGATCATTTGGAGTAGTGTGGAGGTAAAAATGTCAAAAATTGACCCAATTCATACAAAAAAAAGTGTTTTAACTCCTATTTTCCTGCATTCCAGCACCGTCATTAAAATATACCAAACATATTTTTTATATATATCAATTTAGTAAAGCAATAACTAAATTATTATAAGTAATGTTTTCCTTATAATTTCTTCCTTGAATAATTATGAAATAAAAATATACATTTTGATGTAAAATTAAATAAATTTCATTAATTTTTCTAACGTTTCGATATAAAAACATATTTCGCCTAAAACGTAAGTTTTTTTTTGACATTTTTACCTCCACACAACTCCAAATGGTCTTATGAGTACACATTTATAGCCACAACCACTATTCTAAAACTCCTTCTAGGCGCCCGGCTAGTCCCCGCCTAGGCGCTAGGCGGTGGCCGGGCGCCCCGATTTTTGTCTAGGCGCTCCGATTAATTGGTTTGCCGTCTAGGTGAATTAGTCGGCCGCATATGGCGCCTAGTTGCCTGCCTAGAGCGCCTAATCTGTCACCTAGACCGTCTAGATTCGCCGAACATTACTTTAACTTTAGTCATGGATATAAAGAAATGAAGTTGTAAATCAAGATAAAACTACATATGTTTGTATATATATACCTAATGGATATAAAGAAATGAAGTTGTAAATTAAGATAAAACTATATATGTTTGTATATATATACCTAAATTTTATTATTATTTATATTTATAACATAATGAAGTTAAATGATTAGTTATCATATATTACGTATGATTAAATGTGATAATTATATCATTCATGTTTGTTAATGTATATGTATATATGTATTTTATGCACACAAAAACATAATATTACTTATCATATTTATGCAAAAATATAGATAAAATGCAATTTCTATGTCTCCGACTAGTCCCCGATTAGGCGCCTGCCTAGCCGCCTAGGTGCTAGGCGTTGCTAGCGCCCTACTAACGCCTAACGCCTTTTAAAACATTGGCCACAACAATAAAAAAAATTTAAAAATAATTACTGTCTTTAAAAATTACCAAGTCACGTGCTCATCCTCTATCTTTAATTTCGCCATATAATAGAAATAATTTCTTTATATAATACTCTATATGAAATATTTGGTATTGAGATTGAAAATTAAGAGTTAATAAGCCTTTAAAAAAATTAAAATTTATATATTCTATATTGGTGTCATATAAAAGACAATAAAAAATTATGAATTTTGATATATTTTTGTTGGTCCCTATTTCTACTCTATAATGCATAAGATCTGATTAATAGGAGTAGAAGAAGCTTTCCATTGATAGCCAGAAAGTTTACATAAAGATGAAGAACATGTAGCGTAAAACTTCCGTAGGCTTCTAGTCTATGCGCAGGGAATTTTTCTAAGGTAGAAAAGCTTAACCTAGCCTTTCCCTTAAGGCATATATATAGCCTGACGGGAAAGGTAGGTTTTACAATCATTTGGGCTCCTTTTTCTAGGAGGCCCATACCTAAAAAGGTATAAAACCTTTTATTACACATTGCCTTAAAAGGCCTATTCATTATTCTAGCTAGTCTATTTAATTAAGATGCTAAATATAAATAGCTAAGAAACATTGATCACAATATAATGAAAATATCTCTAACAATCTCCCCCTTTGTGATCAGATGTTCTTGCTTCTTCTTTTCTTCACTTCTGAGCTTTAAAATAATGCTTTCTGAGATTTAGTGCATGCTCGTAATTTCTGAGAGACCTTCTTCTGTCAAGTTGTTTCTCGATGGCTTTCAAGATTTTATTGACTCTTTCCAATTCTTTGATTTCTTCCTTCGAGGCTTCATTCTGTCTTTTATCTAGATCTTCTTTCCTTGGCTGGAGCTGTTCTCGGATGATTTGCAGGGTCCCATCACAGTATTTTTGAATGTCTTCAACAATCATCAGACGCTTCTCTTCTTTGTGATTCAGATAGATGACTGAGATGGGCTTGTCAAATGTATAATATGCTGTAAAGGTTTCAAGCCCAGGTCTATCGAAGTCCGGTCGTGTAAGATTCGCCTTTGAATAATTGTGCTCAAGAGTCATTTGGAGATCATGGGAGGCGTAGAACCGAACTTGTCTTGTCATGAATCTCTTAATGGCCTCAAAACCTTCTCTAGCAAGTCTGTCTTTGTGCACTGGGAGCTCCCTGCATCTCATGAACATTTGATAAATATCATCCATATGCAGTAGGAAGAAGTCATTCTCTTGACAGGTGAACTCCGAGCCATCGGTACGTCGTAGACGAAAGACCAGGAACTTAATCGTTTCCAAGTAGTCTTCTGTGATATCCAGGATTTTTGATATAGGACATCCACTTGTTGCAAGATTATGATTTAGAACTTCTCTTCGTTCCCCTGTGGATCTGTATCCTAGCATATACAGGTTACCTCCTCGGTATTTTCCTTTCAAGTGATTGATTCCTCGCATCTTTAATTCACTGAACTTCTTGATTTTTTCAGGTTGTCTCCAGATTTTCTCTCGGATTTCTTCTAGGAAGGGGGCTTTGATTCTAACAATTTCCCATTTTTCTTTGACTGGTTCTGGTGCCTTGGGATTTTCTTTATGATTCTCCCCTTCCTTGAGTTCATCTTCATCGAGTCCAATCATTTGTGCATGATATTTGTTGAGGAATTCTCTGAGTTGCCAGCTTCGACACATTTCGTACTGCTCCGCTTCCACTCTAAGATCATCCCACTCTGTCCACTCACGAGGCCACTGATCATGAACTAGAAGGTCTTCCAGTTCATCTTGTATTTGATTACCAGAGGGCTTAGAGT